AATTATTCAATTTCAATATACAAATAAATATTAATTAAAATGTATTTTCTGTTAAATATATAAAAATAATTTTAAATTGCTGTATATTTCATTTTTGATGTGTTTATAAAATGATTTCATGAATTACATTCAATGCCATTCAATTTGTCTGCTAGAACATTTGTAATATGTATAAAGAGTTCGCCATTTGCATAAATACATTATGGCTATCAACTTTTTGCCGCACATTTTTCATATTTTTGTTTCAATTTCCAATTTCAAACCGCTCAACATTTGGCTAACTGCAAAAGCTCCGCCTTAATGTGGGCGCTGGGGTCTGATTGTTTAAACCGTTCAAAATTTCGCTTTTAATGAATGGCAGCAGTGCGTATATACATACATACATACATATGTACATATATGTATGTATATGTGCGTATGCATATGTATTTACACGCAATTGCACACCAGTTTGTATCAGCATAATGATTAGATTATGTTCTATACATGCATGCATGTGTATGTGTGTGTGTGTGTGTGTGTGTGTGTGTGGAGGGAATCCATTAGCCTAAGACTATAGACAGCAGCATATGCAACCAATGCCAGTGTAACCAAAAACCGCAATCTTGTTATATTCAGTTAGCCCCAGCAAACATGCCGCAATAACCTATACTTACTGCGTTAATGTATGAGTACAGCTCTGTGTAGATGCGTGTGTGTGTGTGTGTGAGTGAGTGTGCGTATGACGAGTAGTCAACAAAGTTACGAAGCTGCGAGAGGGTAAGAAAAAGTCGTAATCCCAAGATGTCAACCCGGTTGTTGGGCGCCTAAAGAACTTTCTAATCTGAATATATATACCTATATATGTATATACAYTTATATGTATGTATGCGTATGTATGTATTACCCAAAGAAGATGAAGAATTCGGTGTAATAAACAGCGCAGCTGAGGGCTGTGGGTGGTTAGCTAAACTGTGTACAAGACTTACGCGTAATGCGTATGAAACAAAACAAAGCACGTTTTGCACTCAATGAGGCACAGCAGGTGCTCCACTGCAGACACACACACACACCAGCACATACATACATACATGTTTCAGCTAAGATTTGTTTTTTTTTTTTTTTGGGTTGAGCTTTACGCATATGCTAAGCGACGGTAAGCGTTAAGAGCTAGTTAGTCAAAGTCAGGTAAAGAAAGGCGAATGCTAACGATGGTCTACTATGTCTCGGCCAGGGTCGCAAGAAAAAATAAAGGAAAAAGGAAAAAAAAAAGAGCGCCGCAAGCACGTGACACTGATGATGATGCCGCTGCTGCTGATGATGCTGATGCTGATGATGCTGAGAGCTGAGCGCTGAGCGCTAAGAGCGGCGACCAAGAGGATTTCATAAAATGAAATTTTGCTATACAAGAGCCCCATTCGAGTTTTATTGCTGCTATGTTATGAGAATATTCTGTCCGCCCAGCTGGCCCGGGTCGCCCATCAAGTGCAATTAGAATACGCAAGGCTTTAAGCCTTCCCAGTCTCTGACTTTGCTGCTGTTCCCTCCCCCTCCCCCCCTCTTTTCACTCCTCTCATCTACGCTTCGTTGTTATCGCTGCATAAGTAAATAGTTGCCAACGAGTCGGCCTTTAAAATTATTTCGCAAATTCAAATGTCAACAACGTCAGTCGGTGGCAAGGCAAAACAACAAAATAAAACACACACACACACACACACACACACACAAGAGAAACAAAAGGGATGCGCCTAAAACCAAACAATAGCGAACAATAACAGCGAACAACAAAAAAGGAGAGAACGCAACAAAAAAAAAATGAAATGATGGGGGAAAGAATAATGAATAACAGGAAACCAAATTTGTGATACCCTTTCGGATAATCGATAGTAGATAATATTAATATTATATATAATTTTTGTCAGACGAAAGTTTGAATAGAAGAATAGAAATGAATTTGAGTCGAATTTCTTATATATAAATATAATATAGTAATCAGACAGGTTAATAAAATACTGAGCTATAAATAAGAAGAACTAGCTGGCATTATGTATGAATATTCTTTATGCTAAAACTGTCTGATATACTAATCCGATATTATAATTTATAAATAAGAAAAATCATTGAAATTTAAATTCGATTAGGATACGGAATTTCCGGATTTTCAAGACCTCAAAAATATGTAATTTACTTTCGATTTCTATTGACACAAATCCCATTAATATTCTCTATACTAGAAGCATATTTTACTGCAAACCGATAAAGTTCGAAATTTTAAGTTCGACAGAATAGAAGATAAGAAGAATTCGTAAAAACTTAGTTTAATAACGATTTCTAACACTACTTAAGTACCCTCCCTATCAAATCTATATCACATAGTAATCACATATTCTGAAGAAGAGAACTAATGAGAGCCTGAAGAATTAAAATTCCACTAGGATACCACTAAGTGCTTGATAATAATAGAACTACATGAAATAGTAAGCTGAAAGAAAATCTTGGGAAAATTCAATGAAAATTCAATGTGATTCAATTCACTATATGATATGATAAAAATTTCGATGTAAAATCGTCGATAATATGGGAAGTTTTTACCTGGTATCTACTATACTCGTAATACTTCTCGCTCAAATCAGACGCTATAATCGCTAGTTGCCAGATCTTCCTGGTCTAAGTGACACACTTCATGAGCAAACTATAATGCCCTCTCGCAGGCAACATGAAAAAAAGGCACAGAGAATGAGAATGTCAGCAAGAACAAGATGAACAACAACAACAACAACTTCACTAATATAATATTTATTACGGTGATTATGTCTTGAGCCAAGGGCAAGTGCTAGCAACGCCCAACAGCCCAACAGCCTCGCAGCCACACAGCCTCTGAAACATCCACGCCCCGAGGGGAGTCCCCAACGGCCGATGGGAAAGTGGAAATGAAAGTTGAGAGAAATGTAATAAGCAAGCACTTTGTGGGCACAGGCAGCGGGCAGCGGGCAGCGGGCAGCGAGCTGGAGATATATCAACTATGATGGACGCCGGCAATGACGACGACGACGACGACGATGACGACGATGACTGCGATGATGAAGAGACAACACAGCTGGCCAAGGTCCATTGCCGTAGGAACAAACTTTAATTCATTTTATGTACCTTCTCTCACAATCTCTCTCTCTCTCTCTCTCTCTCTCTCTCTCTCAGTCTCTCGCTCTCCCTGTCTCTCAGTATCCTAAGGCAGTAAAAAATCGCTTTGAAATCAGCTTTTCTGATACAAATCAGAAAACTTAACTAACTTCAATAGTCGCTCCCTCCCTCTATATATAGCCCCGTCTCTCTCTCTCTCTCTCTCTCGCACTCTCTTTCTCTCCCATCACTTGACCTGCTTAATCAATAAGTGACGCACCACAATCTACACCTTTGGACCCGCTTACGCGTTAACTGCAAATGATGAAACGCGTTTGACCGGAAAACATTTATTTACCAATACATTTTTAAACAAGTTTACCTCATCATTTCCGCTCTTGAATTGCAATTTTTTATTAATATTGTTGAGTTAACAGAAATGAACTTTCCGCTAACTGTTGTCCACGTCAACGGGGGGGAACGCTTTGTGGAGCACTATGCAAAAAATACATATAAATAAAAATAAAAATCAAGAAAAAAGAAAGTTTAATCAAACTGGTTCTGCTTCATAATATAAAGCAATAGAGTGCATTTTTTGTGGAACAAAGATTGCAGATTGAAGACTTGATTGACATTAAAATATATAGTATATATTAAAGCAGAAGAGCTTTTCCACCTGTAAATATTACTCTTTACATTATCCGCATTGGGTTCTAGGGTTGTACGAGTGCAAGTGAATACAGTTCAAACTGCATGCATCGAAACCCCAACTGGTTCTAGGCTAGCTGGAGTAACTTATGACAAACGTGGGAGTTTCTTAAATGGGATTTACAGAATACCCAAGGTACTTGCTTGGCGGCTAATGAGTTGAATTCTGAACAAAATCAGATATAAAACAAAGCTAATATATGTATATTCAAATTTTCTCATTTTGAATTGGTTCGGGGTTGGCAGTGACCGACTAAGAGCTACCCTAATTTCCGAGCAAAAGCTGCTATTCAAATCATTGGACGCTTCTGTTAATCATACATATCAACCAACACATGCACACACATATACACACACACCACATCACACATACACACACTCACACGCAGCAGCACGCACTCTGTGTACTGCGCTGTGCCAACTTAATTGTTGAATAACTTTGCTTCTAGATGGACTTTCCCAATCAAACTTTCGGAGCATAATAACGACATCCCCATCTGTGCGGGTGCTACAGCATAAGTTGCGTCTAGTATGTGAAATATTTTGCTTGATGGGGCCAAGTGGGAGGTAGCCAGTGTGTAAAGCATACAACATATCTGTATGCATTACAAGAGGAGCCCTCACACTGAATTTAAAGTCAACTTCTGTTCTGGTATTTAAATTGGCGATAATAAGGAAAAATAATAACGAACTTGTACTGTGTGTGGTACAGTGGAAGAAATAGTTATGTTTTGAGCTACCTAGTTTGTGTGACTTACGAGATCGGACGGAGAGAGGAACGAAAGGTCGGAGGAATGGATTGAGGCAGAGGCTAATAGACGGACAGCTGAATGGGTGGACGAATGGATATAGAAACTGATGGACGAGCATATGGACAGATAGAGAGAATGGAGATAAGGACACATGGAAGGATGTAGGGATGTAGGAGAAAATCCAGCACTTTTGGATAAACTCTACAACTTAAGCTAAGTTTAACATTTTGCGCTTTCGAAAACTGTTTTTTGACGTTTAAACCACGTCTTCTCGCCGCCCAGTTATTACCTATTAATTCAATCGGGTGTACATTAGACATAATATAAAGAGAATAAAAAGACGGACAGATCGACAGACAGACAGATATAAAGATACCGATTCAGCCATCAATAATATTAATAGAGTCGAGTCTCTATAACTCGTAACCCGCTAAATCGAAAATCGCGATAAATCGAAAATAAATTCGATCCCCTTGAAGGAAATTGGTTCTAAATAATTCTCGATAATTTGAATTTCTGTGTAAATAGAAATTAAAACGGATCCCCTTGTCATTTTGAACTATCAGGATTTTTCTGTATATATACCATATGACTCCTCCTACTTTCTGTTACGTGCAAGATTAAAAAGCAAATATACCCTGAACTCACTTTACACTTTCAGCGACCTTTCAGTATTTGAGCTGTGTCAATTTTTTACGGACTTCAGTTCATGTAGTTGCTGATTAACACTAATTGACAAATTAAGTTGGTTGAATGCACAAAAGGCGAACAATTGGTCCGCAAAGCTGTCACTGAATCATGATTCTGCGTGTGCTTTAAGCCGCATCTACCCGACAATTTTTCATATGTTGCGATATTTTGTATGATTTTAAATTAAGTGAGTTTTACTTTCTATGCAATTCCAGCTGGCCACGACGGGAGATCGCATTGAACCATTCGCAGTGGCGGCTCGTCAGAGTTTTGGATGGACAGCTAATGCTGTGTGCGCTAGCGCCTGGAAACGTTGAGGGCAGCTACGTTTTGAGAATACAATGAAGGTTTCTGATTTCAACAGGGCCGTTTGTCAAAGTCACGTCATCCCGTGCAAAGGATGAGGCGTTTACAAGTTAATAATGCATCATTAGCATCAGCATCAGCATCGGCAGCGGCAGCRGCATCAGCAATCGCGGCCCACTCAGCCCAATCGAACTATAGCCCGGCCATCAGCCTGAGCCACAGTCGGAAGCGGAGTCCGTGGAGTCTGAGATGCTTTTGGCTGTTCGCCGTTTTCACAGTTATTCAATTTCATGTACACTTCGTGCTGGGTAAGACAACGCGCACAAAGAAGGGCGGGCACAGAGGGAGGGGTGGATAATTGGAACGAATCAGATGACAATTGTAATTGGAATAGCTGCAATGCGGTTAACTGCAAGCTGAAGCCAGTTGACTGGGGAAACCTTTGTTGTTGCACATTCACTTCATATGCAATACTTATATTTATCAAATATTTTGCAGGCACCACAGCAACAGCAGCAGCAACAACAACAACAACAGCAGCAACAGCAGCAGCAACTGCATCGATATCAACTGCTGCTGTTAGCAAGCCGAACGACAGCAGCTCGGAGAATAATTTCTATTTTGATGAGAGTATTACGAGCAGAGCGCTATCCCTCATTGCCGCTGACACAGCAGCGCCGCAGCTCCTTGACGTCTCCTCGATGCCCGGCGAGACGCAGCCAGCGGCCACAGCAACAGCAACAGCAACAACAACAGCAACTCGTACAACAAGAGCTCGGACAACAGCTCACAGCCAAGCTGGCCTCCTGGCCTTCAGCACGGCTCGACTGCCTGGCCTGAGTGGCAATAGCAGCACGGCCCGGACTCAAGATCCCTTGGCTGCTTCAGCGGCGACCACCAAGAGCGCACGCAGCGCCACCGTGAAGCAGCCCATCGATGTGGCACGCTCCCGAAACCACTGGACAGCCGGCGGCGGTGGCGTTGGGGGTGGATTCACAGATGCGGAACGTTCGCGCACGTTTCGCAGCAAGTATCATCATGAGAACCACTATGGACCCTTCTTCGAGGAGCCGTCGAATCTAGTGGATCCCGGCAAAACGCTCGTCGCCGCCGTGCATCTATTCACGGAAGCCGTGCTCAATTGTCGCGTCGGCATGCTGAAGGACAAGACGGTAAGCACATTGAATATGCATATCGAATGACGATAACATATATATCGAATAACGATATATATAGAAGGCAAATATATCATTCTGCGATATACATATATATAGTTCATCGATATTGATCCCTAATCATCAGTTGAATCTATATATACCTGCAACTTTATAAATAGCATATGACTAGGATCCTTTCTGATATTCCGGGACATGCCCGCTTTTGTAGGTAATGTCCCGGTGTCCTGACCTGACACGAATTTTCCCGGGCTTCTACTGTTTCGATAAAAAAGATCGTCGTCAACCGTCCCAGAATGGCCTCAAGACCATATGGTAACCCTACATAGAAATAGAAATATATAAAGATATATTGAAAGACCATACTCATATAAGTTTATCTGGAGATCAGAATTTTCATCGCAATAACCGAACGGAAGCTATAAGTGGAATCATTATAAACATATATATACATATATATCCAAAACTGTTTCTATATATCCAAATTCTACAACAGAATTTCTAATCGAACTCTAAGTTTTATTTTAAAAATTTTAGGTACTTTTAGTATATTTGATGTATTCGCTGATAAAGTATTCCAAACATTCAATAAACTCTCATTGAGGGCGTGGCAAAATGAGCGCTACTACAGAGAATATCGTTTTTAAAGCGGAAGATTTTAAATATACATCGAGACTTTATAGCCACACTCTTAGAGGAGTATAAAATAATTTGTATGTCATTTACGATATCTTTAGAGTCCGAATCTTCATTTCGTATAGTTGAATCAACACCGTTGAGTTCTATTATTCCTGCTTTTATGTAAGAGCTATACGACTGAGTACAATGTATGCCAAATGCTTATATGATGAGCCATAGCTAATGATATTGGATACAGCAAATATATCACAAGTGAATTGTTTCGTATTTGCAGGTGATGTGGGTTAGGCGCACCACTGAGAAGGTCTCACTGCTCACCGTTGGCAATGTCACATATAGCGGTGATCCACGTATACGAGTCAAATTTCAATATCCGAACAACTGGCGTCTGATGATCAATCCAACCCAGAGGGAAGACGCTGGCATCTACATGTGCCAGGTTTCAACACATCCGCCGCGCGTCTTTACCACAAATCTCACCATTTTGGGTGAGTCGAGAGATGACAGTAGATTCACATCTTTGGATGTTGATTGATTTTGGTTTTCCGCTGCAGAGCCACCGCTAAGGATTATTGACGAACACGAACGGGATGTGGGCGACAGATACTACAAGTCCGGCAGCACCGTCGATCTCCAGTGCCAGATCTCACGCAACTTCTATCAAAAGGAACGTCTGGCCATACTCAAGTCAACGGAGCTGGGCAGCTCGGCTAGCAAGCAACTGAATGATACGGCTAGCGAAATGAATCTAATCGGCGATGCGAACCATACTCACAATACATACTCCAGCCAGGAGCTGGAGAAATATTTTACTCATTTCATTACCTGGGCCAAGGACGACGAACCGCTCCAAGCACTGACCAATAGGCGTTCTAGGTAGGTTCTACTTATACTTTTAAAGAATTTTACAGGCAAATTTTCTACTACCTGAACTCTATGAGAATGGGAACTCGGGGTATAATGATTTTATAAACAAGCAGAAGGAGGCATGGCAGACCAGCTGAGCTGAGTCGAAGAGTTTGCCTGTCTGTCAGTCCGTACTCCCGTAGAACGATCTGTATTCGTGCGTCTATCCGTCCGTTTATCCGTTCTTCTCTCTGGGAATATCTGGAATCTAGCCATTATTATGAACTCTGCTATCGCATAAGCCCGGAAAGCTTACAGACTTCATATCTTAAACAAATATTATAATATGCCATAAGCAGTACAAGCCTATCATTATAGTACGGCTAATCGTAAACCCTTAATATCGATAAAAATCGATTTTTTTTTTCTTATTTTTTTTAAGCGCAACTCAAGTGCGACAAAAGGCGGCAGCTTTAAATTTATTGTGGGATTTTCTGTAATGAATACCCAAAATTTTGCATATCTTTTATTTAGGATATATGTATACCCACTCATTCAGCGAAACATTCGCAAAGAACATATTTCAAATACTAGAGACTTGTGCTTTGGCATCTAGATGTCATTATCATGCTCCAAATTTGATTAAGAAAGTTCAGCTAGAAGAAAAGTTATTCGTCAATGGAACTCTCATTATAAGGCCCATAAGCACGACCCAAGCGCAGTCGCTGGCGTCAACTGCGCAGTAAACAGAGTGCGTGCCTATGTGTGTACATGTATGTGTGTGTATATTTGTCTGTGTTGTGCTTGTTATGTATGTATAAGAGAGATGTAGATTGATTGAGTTAAGGGTATTATTAGTTAAACACTCCCGAACAGAGCTTTATTTACTTCAATTTAAAAAAAAAATTAAAAATTAAATCAAATAATATTAGTATTAAATAAATATATCTACAATTATTTTTCAATTCAATAGCAAGTATTTACAAACTTAAAGAAATCTATAAAGAGCTAATAGCCGAATTTTTCTTTCCTCAAACTCTAATTACAACAAACCATTTTCTTTTCTTTACAGCGTGTCCGACAAATGGCTCAATAGTCGAATTTCTATATCCGATGCGAAGCTCTCAGATAGTGGAAATTATTCCTGTTCCCTTGGTCGACTCTTCACTGTAATTGTACAGGTCCAAGTACTCACGGGTAATATATATGAACAATATTATTGGCACCCCAAACGTTGCTTAATTTGCTTGTGCTTTTGCTTTTCGTTTTCAGGTGAATTGCCTGCTGCAGTTCAGCACAATTTGGCACGAAGATCCGGGAGTTGCCTGTCCCTCTCATGGAGTCTCTTCATTATTGTTATTTGTTTTTACATACTCAAGAGCCATTCATCACAATTTCATAGTATTAAAGCGACGAATGAATGAATGAATGAATGAATGTCTGACGTAAAGGAATTGTACTTAGCATTCGATCATTCATCTATATAATAATATATGGTATTTCTGACTAAATAACAGAACATAGAATATTTCTGAGAAACAAAACAAAATGAATTCCATATGTGTACGTATATGCTTCACGCTGTGTAACTGCTAAAAACTGAAATATTTGTCCAAAAACAATGATTGGTCTATGTATGTATCTACATCAATTACATCAAAATACATACATTGAATTTTCTATATCAATTTACACGACTTTCATTGATATTCTTCTTAATAAAATAAAGTCGACAACTTGTTTAAAAACTTAACAAAAAAAGAAAACCTAAAAAAAAAAATAAAATAAAATCTGATAATTCCGAATATCAGTTCAAGTAAACCCACAGGAACTTAGCCAAGATTAAAAAAAATAATAATAATAATAATAATAAAAGGTATATGTTTTATTACAAATAAAAAGAAAATCAAAATATAAAATGGAATTTGTATGCGAAAAGGATAAAGTGAAAATTCAAATAAAATTTGCTATTATGTTTCGTTTGTCGTGTGAGTCCAAGTTCAACTTTCACTTACATCAATGAGTTGATTTAACATTTTAATTGTATGTTTCGGCAATTAGTATGTTTGTAAATATTGTAAAATGAGAGAAGTTAGGATTTTACCTCCTCAACTCCATACCGTGCATATATATTTTCTCAATTCTCATTCTGCTAGCTCAAAATTGTATAGTTAAACTATTTATTCGAATTGATTTATATATATATGTATACATAAATATATGTATTAATATCTTAGTTAATGGTAACCTACTTGGCTGGATTAACGAAACTCTAYGATCCACCAATATTGTTAAATTGCGATAATCGTGCATTGACATGATTATCATGCTATATTACAAACTAAATCAAAATACATACTTTCAAATATAAAATCCAGACAACGTGTTTTCTTAACCCCATTTCGCTGGGACAAAGTTTCTAGCCACAAAGTTCGAGTAGATGAAGGGGCCGAGACTGGAAGTTCGAGTAGATGATGATGATGAAGTAACTGAAACTGGCTGAAACTTCAGGTGTGTGGTAAGTGTAACGGTGGTATTTCATGAGGTTGAAAACTTAGTTTAAAACAAACTTTTTATTACAGCTTTTCACGCAATTTAAATTGGCTCAGTGTCGGAAATGACAAATTATTCAATTGTTGTTATTGCATATATATATATATTGTCGAATTGAAAAAATTTATGAAAAATCATTGTGGCTTTTATTTTAATTTATGTTAAATTTTTTACGTTAAGCATTTATCTAATCATTTAATTTAACAGAAAGCCATAGCAAGCAGCTTATGAACGTGCTCTATTGCACTTAGCTTATGTCTGCTAGCATTAAAAAATCAAGTCAAACATTTTTGGCGCCCAATGCATACTGCTTTGACTGATTTTACTGCATTACAAGTTGTAATTTACAACACACATCAATTAATTTAAAACATAAAATATGGCAAATTATAATGCTAACAACACATTACTTGCAACTTTAGCTACATTAGCTCATAAAGCTCCACAATAGCGTGAGCTTTTTAGAAAATGTAAGCTCTTAACTATCGATGACATTCAGAAATCTATCGATTGCCATCAGTTTGCCGATCGATGTTTTAAAAGCAATCGCATACTTATTTATAGCACGAATTTTTATTTTCTTTTTGTTTAAATATATAACAAAATCAACATTTGATTTACAACATAGACAACTTTATTTTTTATTATTAATTTTTTCAAACACATCCTGCAAGGCATAAAAAGTGGGTCTACTTTTGACTATATAAAAACAAAGTGTGTGTGACATATTTTGCATTGTCTAGTGATAAGACACATCCATGTATAGAGAGGTGTATTTACATGTGTATGAGATGTCATTATGTGCCTAAATGAACTGCATACAAAATCTGTTTGTGTGTATTCGACCTTTTGCATCAAATTTAGAAACTGGAATACCTATCTGTTAATTAGCTGAGATAAATAAACTGCGTGTGGGTGGGTGTGTGACTGCGGAAACTATCGATGGAAGAAAAATGATTCCTTATGCCACTTGTTTGTCTGACTCTGACTTCACCTTGACTAAAGTACACGGGGGCAATGCAAAAACAAAAACGAAACGAAACGAAAGCAAAAACAATAAGAAAACGACTGGAATGATAACACAGTAGCAAAAATAACATGCAAGTGATTTCCCCCACAGGCACAATCGTCGGGGCAGAACATGTTGAAGCTACGTAACACCTGGTCGGCGGTGGGCTATAATGCCGGTCCAATCGCGATTCGGTAAGTTGAAGTTGCCCAACGTACGATATCAGCACGATAAGTGAACTCTAATGTCCTCATTTCGATTGGCTTGCCAGCTGTTTGTCAACAACGGCCAGCTGCAAGGATTCTGAATCATGGTTCTCCAAGCTGCTGGTGCGGAAGATCGAGCCAACGAAGGAGTCGCACAGTCGCATGCTCAGTGATAAGGAAATCATATACGCGCTGCATACGCATAATGTGCGCCCCGATTCCATGGGCGACTATCTAAATAATTAGTGAGTGGCAAATCGAATCAGATCAGATAAGTTGAAATTAATTAATTTGCTTCTTCTTATATCTGTTGTTATTTTCAAATAGTAAAAACACTGTGGGCCTAATTAATGAGAAGAAGACGAGCCTGTCATGCAAATTGGTTGCCTCATGGACTGTCCAGGTGGGCGATATGGATCAGTGTCTTCATTTGTGGAAATATACCGGCGGCTTCGAGAAAATCGACCAGGCCAAAGAGGATCTGTGGCACGATGAGGAGTATCTGAAGCTAATGAACGAGCGCTCGAAATTCTTGCGATCCCGTCACCTGCAATACCTGTTGGCCTTCAGCTACTGGCCACAGATCACCAGCCGATCGGGCAAAAACATCTACGAGATGCGGCAAGTAGAAACAATTGATTCATGTTTAAGATTATATATTTTATATATATCTTTCTCTCTCT